AGGGCGCCTCCCGCCAGGGCCCTGCACCCCGCCGCTCCGCGCGGGCCGGGGAGCGCCCGGACCCGGGGCCCGGCCTCCGGATCCCGCAGCGCCGCGTCCTCCTCCTCTTCAGCCGCCAGGCGCAGTCACGAAAGCATCTCCATCTCCCGTCCCATTGTCTGAACGCGGCGCCCCGCCGGGGCCCTCGGGAGGGGGCGCCCCGGCTTCCTCGCCCCGCGCCCCTGGGAACCTGCGCCCGGGGCCGCACGGGCTGGAGGCGCGGGATGCAGTCGGAGCGGGGTCTGACGTCCGCGTCACCCGGCGCAGTGCAGCACCCTCGTTCCGACACTAGATATCCCCAGCCGGCACTGGGAGTGCGGGGGCCCGCAGGACCCCTCCCGGCCCGGCCCCCGCCTTCCGCGGCCCGCGCATGCGCCCTACGATCTCGGTGCAGGTGCAGCGGGAGCTCTGGCTACGTCCTGCCGGCTCCCGAACGCCCGACCCGCCGACGGTGCGAGCCAGGGGTGACGGCGGAGGAGGTGGGCAGGTGGTCCCGGACACTCCACCCAGCACTCCAGGAATCCAGCCCCTGCTGCTCCGCATTCCCTTCCCCTTGTCGCCCCACATCCTCCCCTGGGTGACCCCTCAAGGCAGCAGGGAGCTGAGTTCACCATACCTGCGTGGGGAGAAGGGGGGGGCTAAGGACACTCAGCTCGCGTCGGGGCCAAGCGAGGTGGCTGCAGTCGCCTAGAGGCCAGGAAGGGACTACCCATCGCCACTATCTCCCTAAGGGACCCAGGCAGAGCGGGGACCCCGGACCCAGGCGCTGAACTAGTCCACAGCCAGGGCTGCCAAGCTGGAAATCACCGTCGCGGAAGTGCCGGGGTTTGTCTGGGCCTGGCTGTGACCTTCCAGGAGATTGAAGTGGAATCGCGAAAAATCTCAAAGGAACTCAGGGTTCCAGTCGGAACTCCCCCTGAGAAGGGAGGTAGGAGACCTCTGACCAGCCACAGTGGGACCAGGCAGTGTCCTGAAGTCAGCCAAGGGGATGGCAAGAAGGGGTCTAGGAAGGAAAAGCGGGGACCGGAGTGCCGGGAGGGGTCGTGGGGGGCGGGGCTTCAGAGGCAAGGGGGCTGGGCGTCCAGCCGCGCTTCGTAGCCACACCAGGGATTTGGGGAGCACTCTGGTGATAGGGGCCGGTACGGAGAGGACTGGATCCACGGTCTAGGAGCTCCTGGGCAGTGTCCTAACCCCAGCCCGACTTGGGTGTGAGGGAGCCCCTCGCAGCAGAGAGACGCAGCCCCTACAGGGCCACACCCTCTGCTGGCCGCTACCCACCCACCTGTGCACCAGACTCTGGCCTGAGGGTCCCTCCTCAGCGTCTAACAGCCAAGCCCAAGGATGGAGGGAGGGGCCTGGGCTTCCACTCCGCGTGACCTTGGTGGCCCTCTCTCCGGGTGGCTTGACCTCACCCTCAGGCCCCCAGGTCCCTGGAAGTCCTCTGGGGCCATGCTGCCCTGGCTACCCCAGTGCTACAGCCCCCTGGTCCCGAGGGGCCTGGAAACCCAGGATGCAATGGGAAGTGGGTAACCTGGACTCTTCGAAAGGGACTGAGTGGACTCCAGGGACAGCTGCCTGGAAGGGCTTATAGATGTCAGGGCCGGGGTTTGATGTGCTCAGTGTGGCCCCAGCCCCCCCAACCCAAGCCTCGGTGTTCTCCAGAGGAGATGTTGGGGTGGCCGCCTGTCCAGGGAGGCGGTGCCCTCTGGCCACACCAGGAGCCCATTGTACAGACAGAAAAACAGGCCGGGCGGGTCCCGGGCATCTGCTCTCCAGGCGCCCTCTCTCCAAACCAGGCCTGTCCAGTGAAATCGCACCCACTCCTCTGTGTCTGCTGACTGGGGTCCCCTACCCACCGAGACCCCCTGGCTACCCTGATCACCCCGAGACTGCGTGGTGCCCCGTCATGCAACAGCACCACCAGAGCTCCCGGGATCCCAGGCGAGGGGGTCATGCGCAGCAGTGAGACCCCCCGCCCACATTCTGCAGCAGCCCCTGGGGCAGACCCTCAGGGCCTCAGGGCGAGGTGCCACCTGTCCCTGCAGCCGGAAAACAGGAGCGACAGGCGGGGGGCGGGGGGCCTGGGAAATGGGACTGGGCAGGACAACAGAGCCAGGGGATGGGAAGAAAAAACAAAAACTGCCGAGCGGAAGGCCCAGTGGGGGGTGAACGGGGCGTCCACAAAAAGAAGGGGTGCGGTCAGTGACAATGGAGTGACACCCATGATTCCCAGTGAGAGGACCCAGCCCAATCCAAACCCATCCAGTACCAAGGGCTTCTGGGAGGGAGGGAGGGGACGAAGGCCCTGGCAGCCACCCAGGGTGGGCAGCTGGGGGCTAGCGACTGAAGCCACTCACCTCCTTATAACAGATCACTCCAGTGTCCCTCAGGGATGAGGAAAAGTGAGGTGGGGCAGGGGCCGGAGGGTGAGGCGGGTCGCAGAGAAGGCCGTGATGAGGGACAGCAAGTGCCAAGCCCCCCCAGGTGGGAGGGGCCGTGAACTGGATGTGCCGGGCCTGCTCGGAAAGTCTACTGGCCTCGCCGTGTTCTAGGAGGCTACTCGAGGCCATGCGAGAGGCGGGTGGCATGGGATCTGGGAAACAGTGGCTCCAAAGTGGAAGAGTGAAGGGTGGCAGTGGGCAGCGGCGATGTCCAGCTGGCTGGGAGCTGGAGGGATGGCGGGGGGACTTGATTGCTAGAGAATGCAAGGGTGTGATCACAGCACACAGTGTGGGGACAGGAGGTCCCGCAGGTAACGCCGAGGCCGGAACTGCACGCGCGCGTGTTCACTGCAGGCCCCGGCTCTGGGACCACACGCGCGCAGGGCTCAACGCGCCCCCGCTGTGCCCCCCATCAGGCCCTTCCCGTCC